AAATAACTTAGTGACATAATCGCTCTTGTATACATTAGATGTTTGTATCGATATAGAAATTTCATTTATGTTTATAAAACGATACTTTTAACGTGTAATGTACTTGTATTTCCCACCTTAAAACATGAAAAGAATTGAAAAGTAGGGGTATGAACTCACTCGTTAAGTTTGAAGAGAGGGACTAGAGTTGAGCAGAGTTTCGATCGCGGATAGTTGCGTCGTCGGGCTCTTCGGGGATCTCTGCAACGTAAATCTTTCGTCGGGGGCTCGAGTGCGGAAACCAAGGCAATGAAATGGTCTCTGGAACAGGGAGAAATGCTGAGAAATTGTGAAGGTGTGCCAAAACTCGAGTTTTATGCCCTCTATTTATAGGGCTGAAAACCCTCGTACGCGGCGCGTACTTCCGGAGTACGCGGGGCGTACTTCGGTTACGCGGGGCGTAATAATGCGTCATGGCTTACGACTCCTGGCTAGCTAGGCGTAGCTTGGGCGGGCCGATGGGACTCGACTCTGGGTCTAGTACGCGGGGCGTACTCCCAGAGTACGCGGGGCGTAATCCCTGCTTCCAACTTCTAAATTCCGTAACTTTCGCGTACGAGCTCCGTTTTTCGCGTTCTTTATATCCACGCGTAGGTGAGATTATGCTCTACAACTTTCATTTAGACTCCGTCGGCTAGTTTTGACTTTATTTTTAATGATATAATTTTAATAGGCCGGGCCTCCTAAAGTTCGTTAAAATTTCATAGGTTCTTTATTCGACGTCGGTTTTCGTTTGTCTTTTGATTGTTTTATTACCACCGAGGAGATCTTCAACTTCCGTTTAGGTGGCGATAGCTAAATAACACTCGATCTTCAATCCGAGTTTTTAGCCCTCTACTACTGTTACGAAACTTTGAAAATTCGTAACTTCTTCATACGAGGTCCAATTTGGGCGATCTTTTTATGCACGCTCATCTTTCAACGAGATCTACGACTTTTGTTTAGATACTTTAAGGCTAAAATGTATTTTATTGAGATTCCACTTTTTACGTCAAATAATGTTTTAACGTCGTGTCGTAATTATACGAGTGGTTATAATTTCTTCAATATAACTCGGTTTTGAGCGTTCTTTATGTTTTTGGAAACCTGGGCATGATATCTAATATTCGATGCATCCCAACTTAGATACCTGAACACTTTATTTTCGAGGTTAATTTCGTTGTTTTTAGCTTTCGAGTGTTTACAATGCTTTTGGGAAAAATAGGGTTGTCACATCATCCCCCTGTTAAGGGAATTTCGTCCCGAAATTTAATCTAAGATAGATATTACAAATTAGGAAAAAGATGCGGGTACTTTTGTTTCATTTGATCCTCTCGTTCCCAGGTGTATTCAGGTCCTCGCTTGGCGTTCCAGCGGACCTTTACGATAGGTATGCGGCTTTGTTTAGTCCTTTTGACTTCCCGATCCATGATCTCTACTGGTTCCTCTACAAATTGGAGGTTTTCGTTTATTGCAATTTCGTCTAGAGGGACGACAAGGGTCTCGTCGGATAAGCATTTCTTTAGGTTTGATACGTGAAAGGTAGGGTGTACGTTGTGGAGTTCCTGAGGTAGTCTAAGTTTGTAAGCCACTGGACCGATCCTGGCAAGGATCTCGAATGGTCCGATGTATCTGGGGTTCAGTTTCCCACGTTTTCCGAAGCGTATCAATCCTTTCCAAGGCGAGACTTTTAGTAGGACACGGTCTCCAACTTGGAATTCCAAGGGTTTTCGTCTCTTATCTGCATAACTCTTTTGTCTATCCCTTGATGCCTTTAGACGTTCTCGGATTTGAACAATCTTCTCCGTAGTTTCTCGTATGATTTCTGGCCCAGTAAGTGTGTTGTCAGTTGCTTGTCCTTTTGCTAGTTGTGTGTCCCCCACTTCGGCCCAGCATAAAGGTGACCTGCACTTGCGGCCATAGAGGGCTTCGAACGGGGCAGCTTTGATACTGGTGTGGTAGCTATTGTTGTACGAGAACTCGACCAAGGGTAGATGTGTGTCCCATGCTTTGCCAAAATCGATTACGCAGGCTCTCAGCATGTCTTCTAGGGTTTGTATGGTTCTCTCGCTCTGGCCGTCGGTTTGAGGGTGATAGGCGGTACTCATGTCTAGTCTTGTCCCCAAAGCTTTTTGTAGCGACTGCCAGAATCTTGAGGTGAATCTACTATCTCGGTCCGAGATAATGGATACGGGCACACCGTGCAGTCGTACAATTTCCCTGAGGTATGTCCTTGTTAACTTCTCCAATTTATCCGTCTCTTTGATCGGTAGGAAATGCGCTGATTTAGTTAACCTGTCGACAATTACCCAAATGGTGTCGAGTCCGTTTGTCGTTTTGGGTAACTTGGTTATGAAATCCATAGTTATCCGCTCCCACTTCCATTCGGGTATTTCTGGTTGTTGTAATAAACCTGAAGGCTTTTGGTATTCTATTTTGACCTTAGCGCACGTCAGACATTTACTCACGTAGGTAGCAATTTCGGCTTTCATGTTCGGCCACCAGTACAACTTCTTGAGGTCGAGATACATCTTGTCGGAGCCGGGATGTATGGAGTATCGTGTTTTATGGGCTTCGTCCATGACGATTTCTCTGAATCCACCAAACTTTGGTGTCCATATTCGATCCATGAAATAACGAACTCCGTCGTTCTTGGTTTCAAGATTCTTATCCATTCCCCTTAGGGTTTCTCCTGCCACATTTTCAGATTTCAAGGCTTCTATTTGGGCTTCCTTGATTTGCGTGGACAGGTGGGAATGGATCGTCATAGTTAGGGACTTCACTCGGCGACCTGAGTATTCCTTCCGACTGAGTGCATCAGCCACTACATTAGCCTTTCCGGGTGATATCGAATTTCGCATTCGTAATCACTTAGTAGCTCTACCCACCGTCTTTGTCTCATGTTGAGTTCTTTCTGGTTGAGGATATGTTGAAGGCTTTTATGGTCAGTGAAGATCGTGCATTTTGTGCCGTAGAGGTAGTGTCTCCATATCTTTAGAGCGAAGACGACTGCTCCTAGCTCAAGATCGTGCGTTGTGTAGTTCACTTCATGCGTCTTTAGTTGTCTTGAGGCATAGGCGATGACCTTCCCTCGTTGCATCAGGACACACCCGAGTCCTTGGTTTGATGCATCACAATAGACCACGAAGTCCTCCGTCCCTTCTGGCAGGGTTAGGATGGGCGCACTACATAATGCTCGTTTTAGCGTTTGAAATGCGGCATCTTGTTTTTCTCCCCAGTCGAAGGTCACATTTTTCTGAGTTAGTGTGGTGAGTGGCTTGGCAATCTTGGAAAAATTCTGTATGAACCTTCGGTAATACC